GAAATGAGATAATAGTACACCGACTAATCTACAGTATCAGCGCAGCTCATCTGGAAACCTGTCCGCTCTGTCCCTGTAACTCCCCCCTGTGCTGTTTTACCCCAGTAAACTGAATAGTTTGACCTACATTCAGACCTCTTATTTCTGAAGGTTATCTGAGGTTGAACACGGTTTGTATCCTAAACCCTAATCTGCTTACAATATGGAGGAATTCGGCTAAATACCCTGTTAAAGACACAGCAGAGATAGTTGAACAAAATGCTCCAGTGATAGTACAATTACTGTGAAATTTATGTGTTGGTTTATTTTGTGTAATTATCAGTGGTTGTGGAAGAAAGCATGTCAGTGGTGGGAATGACTAGTGGAGGGAAACTTTTCCTGAAATGAAAGCTCCATTGTTGGGTTGTCTGCTTTGGCCCTGTATGGTAAGCAAACTGTTCCCTGTCTTCCAGAGACAGATGGCTTTTCTGACCTGTGTGTGTGTATGTGAATGTCCATGCTGTAACCTGCGCTCTGTTTAAACAGGCCAACACCACTGAGATCTTTCTCTCTCTCTCCCTCCAGACCGCTGCTCTTAGTTCGACAGCCACTGGGCAAACTTCCCAGATGCTTCCTCGTCGATATTCTGCTGCCGTCTGTGACAGCGTTTACTGAACTGGAGAGACAAAGATCGTCACAAAGAGGAACACTAACAGACTTGTGACGGTAAAAGGCGCAAGTGAAGTCATCACAAGTGTGATGCATGTGGTGGGAACTTCCTGCTTTGGCTGCACTCCTGTGACACAATCGCTCTTTTCTTAAGTCACATCATGCTGTTTGGCGAGCAGTTATTTTGTCTGAAAACACGTCAAGCGGCTGAGTGTGTGGGATGAGAGCGCAAAGAAAACAAGAAAGGGGAAACGACAACCATGCTGAAGAACTACCAGCTGGTCTACATTGGCCTGGAGCTGGTGATCGCCTGCCTGGCCGTGGCTGGGAACGTCCTGGTCTGCTGGTCCGTCTGCCTCAACTCCAACCTGCAGAGCATCACCAACTTCTTTGTGGTGTCGCTGGCCGTCGCTGATATCGCTGTGGGGCTGCTGGCGATCCCTTTCGCTATCTCTATCAGGTATCATTTCTTCTTTGTTGATTCGGAAATGTTGTGCCACCCGTAACTTCTGCGAAACATTTATTTAACCCGTGATTTTTTTTTCTTGCATTTCCCCACCAGCATTGGTTTCTGTACCTACTTCTACGGCTGCCTGTTCATCGCTTGCTTCGTCCTCGTGCTCACCCAGAGCTCCATCTTCAGTCTGTTGGCCATCGCTATGGACCGCTACATCGCTATCAAGAACCCACTCAGGTGAGAGGGAATGAAAACTGAAATATTTTTCCACAACCCCACAAATTAAGTTCACTTTTCAGACAATTTTTAACATAACCGTGGCCTCATGCACCTCAGACAACACTCATGTTCAGTGGTGCTGAGGCACATAAAATAAATGCGGATGCAAAATACAATCAGAAAGCATTAAGAGAAGAATGCTCAGCTAAATCGGATGAAAACTAAATCTAACAATGCTAAAAAAGTGTAGAAATTAAAAATGAGAAATATTGTAGGGACAAAAAGACTAAGATAAAAGTGTTATCAAGTTACAGTTACAATCAACAAAAGCATCAATGAACCCTTTGAATCGTTTCACTGTTTTGTTGAAGTTTATTCCAGGTATGCTGTGTACGAATACATGAAAGGAAGTTTGCTCTGCACATGTTGCCCTTTCACACGGTGAAGTGAAGGGAGTGAGAGGTGCCAAAATCTCACATACAGTTCAGGCTAATACGGCCTGCTGTGGTATGACACAGATATATATATATATATATATATTCACAGACTTAATTAGGTTACTGTCGTGTGCTATGTAAGGGGCTAAACCTCGTGATAAATTCAAACACAGTTAAAATGACTCACTTATCTTGCAGCCTAGAACAGTTTCTGCAACAAGTAGTTTGACTTGCATTGTTCATCACGTGTATAATTAAAACCCGCTGTCGTCCATTCACGGCTGCATTCTTTTTTCCCCTTTCATATGAGGATATTTCATGCCGTAAGCCATAGCAGGTGACACATTTGCATAAGCGGTTGTGTAACAGCGTCAGTGTGGGTTTGTGTACTCGAACTGGTGCCACAAATCTGACACCAAAGACCAAAGAGCTAATAATTCATCAGAATTTTAGGAGGCTTAATCGAGCACACTTGGCTGCCAACCTGACCAAGCACGGTCCAAGTCAAAAACACAGAGAGGGTTTTAAGTCACTGTACGGGGATGGTGTTGCCAAAAACGCTGGTTATTGATTGCGATTCTCGACTTTTATTTCTCTACATTGCACAAATTAATGCTGCCTATAAAAGTTGCACAGGTAGAGTTTTACAGGCTTGAAAAAAATGTTGAAGATGTCACATTAATCATAGTAAGTAAAGTAGTTCCAGGTCTGCTTGTCTGCGTACATTTATGTACACGAATACATGAGAGAAGACACCAAGTACATCATAAAACCCGACCTCAAAGAAACTCAACTATTCGTTAACATGCAGCTGGTCATGTGGGTTTTTGGCTCAAGATTTCTATTCTTAAAACCTGTGAAACCCCCAGATTCTCCCTCCAATTTAAAAGCAGTGGCTTGTAAATAATCAGCTTGTAACAACATTTAGTACGCAGATTCTCCCTGTTTTATGAAAATACAGGTGTTGTAACTTGATTTGTTTGAATAAAAGTTGTATCTACATTGGGTTTTTTTTCATATGGAAAAGAAAAAGAGGCTGGCAAACTGTTGGCCTTTATTTAAAAAAAAAAAAAGGAAAAATAAACACATCAGTCGTCACCAAAGAAGAATATTAAACCATAAAACTGACTGTAAATGAAATGCATCAGTGGTTGCACCTAACCAGTGTCAGCAGGTATGGTTTCAGCCGAAGTTTGTTTTACGCCCAAAATCCAACTTTTAAGCCAAAGTCTGAGCAAAATTACAAGCCATTACAACATTTTATATCAAAGAGTATATCTTCAGATACACATTAATGGCTTTTAGTTCTGATTATTTCACCCATGTTTTTTTCAGAAAATCATCTTATATCAATATTTTTGTATTAATCTTTGTTGCTCGGAAACTCTTACATCACCTGAGTGGAAATGTTTTGAGTTACTGTCAGAGGTGAAAAACAAGCCCGCTGTTAAATTACAGTATAGGAAGGAAATGCCCTTTACAACAGATTTATGCAAACTCACAGGGCCGCTAGCTGCGTGCAGAGTCATGCGGCATCACTCTGCAGGATGTCACAGGCTGCCTGTTCATCCACCAGCTAACATGGAACATACGAAATGGCTCTCTGGCCAATCTGACGAACTGATGCAATCAAACATTTATTTATTTTTAACAAATCTTTACACTATCAGAGTGGATATCAAATTTTAAATACTTACTCTGTGCTCTGTTTGTAATCACCAGTCCTGATTGTTAGCAAAACGGGACATACAAGCAGTGGAGAGTTGGTCGGATTACTGTTAGCTTATATAAAGAAAAGACTGAAATCTTGCTTTGGTTTATTAAATAAATAATGCATTTCGGCTTCAGTGCACAACCATTTTCTCCCCCGTTTAAACCGCCAAATATTGACTTTGCCTCAGGAGGATGCTATCCCAACGAGATTAGATAAACCAGCGCTGCAGCATAATATTGTGCTCTGCTCAACCTTCCAGGTACAGCAGTCTGGTGACAGGGCCGAGGGCGAAGGGCATCGTCGCGCTGTGCTGGGTTCTCTCCATCGGCATCGGCCTCACGCCCATGTTCGGCTGGAACACAGGTGAGAGATGTGTGTGTTAGCAACGGCACTTGTACACCTTTAATTCTGTAAAAAATGCTGAAAAACATAGATGTGGCATCTATTACATCATCTATAGAGGTTTCTGTGGAGTTTTGTTTTCGTTTCTTTACTTGAAAGACAATCGGAAAGCAGGAAAATAGGGTTAAAAAGCAGATAATTAAGTTCATTAAAGGGAACACATCTGTAAGTTTACCCTCCTTTAGGCCTAAAGTCTTAAAAGACAAGCCATTTCCTACAGCAGTCGATCAGGAAATGAACTGGTATTGTAGTTCTAGAGAAAAGCTTCTGCACTGACAGTTACAAGAAATACATCTGGCATTTTCACGGTGAACTTATTTCAGCTTCTTACTGCTGAAATGATTTTTGAGGAAAACTGAGTCGAACTGAAACCCACATTTTCACACAATAAAGTTTTGCTATTTAGAGTTCTTTATCTTATAAAAAATGTATTTGGTTAACATTATTTAAAAAGCTAAATTTGCTTCTTCACAGGTGGGATCTCTAACATCAACATCAGTGGATACAGCTGCCCCGAGGGAATGACCCAGTGCTTGTTTGAGGGCGTGGTTCCCCTGGACTACATGGTCTTTTTCAACTTCTTTGGCTGCGTGCTGGTGCCCCTGCTGATCATGCTGGTCATCTACGTCAACATCTTCATGGCGGCGCGACGGCAGCTCCGACTAATGAGCCTAAAGGTTGCACACACGCCTGCTCCCGGAGAGAAAATCTTTTGCTCGAGCTCGTCTCGTTCAATCCTCCAGAAGGAAGTTCACGCTGCAAAATCGCTGGCCATCATCGTAGGTTTTTTCGCTGTGTGCTGGCTTCCACTGCATATCATCAACTGTTTCAACCACCTGTGTCAAGACTGCGAGCGTCCAGACATCTGGGTGATGAACATAGCCATCATCTTCTCCCACGCTAACTCTGTCGTGAATCCCTTCATCTATGCCTACCGCATTCGGGAGTTCAGGCTGACCTTTCGGAGGATTCTGTACCAGCACATCCTGGGGAAGAGGGATGGGTGTGGCTTCGGGAGTGCTGGTGGAAGAGACGTTGGGACCACCAGTATCATACGAACTTCATCCCGTATGAGTAAAGAGCGTTCATCCAGCGGCACGTTGGTAAATAGTTATGCCCTGGACCACAGTATTGACCAAACCAGACCAAAGGATACTCATGAATCCTCTCCCCACTGGACATCACATTTAGATGCCACACAGAGCAGCTATATACCCAACGGACACCCAACATGCAACATGGCATTTTCTGCACGGGATGCGGTGGAGTCGTCGTCGTATCTCGGGGGAGCAACAGATGTTTTGGCGGTGAACGACAGGGGAAGCTGCATTGCTTTTGTAAATGTTCAGGCTCTCTCCCTGAACCAGACTGACTGTGCCCGCAGTACAAAACTTACAGAAATCTCATGACAAAGAAACGATGTTGGTATTTAAAATATTTTCTCTGTTGCCACAACACGCATACCATTGTACAAACATGGAAAAGGATTAGCAAAGTCTCAGCAGATCAACACCAGCAGCTAATCTGTTTATCTGAAGTCACAGGAACTACTTTTCGGGTTTTATTTTTGTCTCTTTGTTCTCTGAGTTGGATCGGATGCACAAACACAGAGACAGTTGGTAAAAACCAAGTGGATGTTTAATATCAGCTTGTATCCTCTTTACATGCTGTGAAAGGACATCTATGGCAGTGTGTTCTTTATCCAAGATGAATGTTCTTTTTGAGATCGCCTGTATTAAAAATGTGCTTGTAAATATAAATATGTAATGTACTTTATTTTGAATTTCTTTTTTTATAATGTTGGCTGTATTGTTTTTACCCATGGGAGGAAAACAATGGCATTGATCGAAGGCAAGCACGAGGTGTGCATCATCTCTTACGTCAAGACTTGTTTAAAAAATAATTTCTCAAAGTGTTGGATAGCTACAAAGCACCCGATGTGTTGCGAGCTTGATGAGGGATTTGATAACTGCCAGGCAACGTGTTCATTGCTGGTTCGACATCTAAGTGACATACGAATCAAAGGTAGGGATAAACACAGGCCAGTTACCAACCATCCAAAACAAAGAGCTTGTTTTATCTATTCAAATATCACTCCATATGCCTGTAATGCAGCTACTTCCAGAGTCAGGCTTGCACACACACACATGTAAAGTGCACACACATGACCACAGACTACTCAGCAAGAGGTGTTTACAGAGTAGCCTGGCTGCTGACGCCAGTCAATGGGCCTAATGCAATGGAAATCAAATGAAGGTTCATTTGATGGTGTCTTTTATTATCCCATTATGCTTTCTCTTTCCTCATTAAAAAGCCCTTCCACTGTGGGAAAGACCTGCATTAAGCAACTTTTATGTGCCTTAAAGCACTTCCAGAGACATGCCTCCAAGAATAAGCAAGTCGCACCGTGTTTATTCAAAAACTATGCATAGTGGTTGTTTATCACACTTTCTGGTCATGTACAGGGATATTTAAATAGATTAAACAATTTTGCTGTAATGCTTTGCTTGTGTGTCTGTCGTTGTGCCGTTTTGATAAGCATGACATAACAGCTATGAAAAGTATGTGGTAATTCAAATCTGATTTGTTTCCAGAAATAGAAAGAAGAAGTTTGCATGGCGTCCTGGAGCTGAAGGAAAGCAATCCACTGTTGTTATAGCGTAACCATATAGTCATAAACTAACACCAGGAAGAATAACATTGACATGCAAATTTTTGTGTACAGTTAAGAAAGAAAAAACCACAGAGGCTCGCTCAATAAGCAAATTATCCAAGAGGGAACAGCAGTGTTTGTTGTGGGATTCTTTTTACATTATTAACTGATGACAGTTTAAGGGAAGAACCCTAACCCTAGACCTTCACAGTGGGGAGATCTGGTAGCTCTGATTAGCTGTGGGGGGTATTGTTCTGGCACCGTTTGGCTCCACTTGTTCAGAGAGAAGGGTCACTCAAATCAATACAAAGTTGATCTGAGGTGGAACATTTCTATCCTGATGGGAGCGGCCTCTTCCAGGATGACGGTGACCTCCTGCCCATTCATAGAGCCTGAGGTTGGATGAAAACGATGTGAATCATATACTCTGGCCTTCATAGTCATCTGATTTTAACCCGTCTGAGCACCTTTCCAGATTTTGGATCAGAATGATAGAGAGCACTCTCCACCACAATCCTCAAATCTATACTTGGCATCAGACCAATGTCAGGGTGCACTGAAGCTGTTCTGGCAGCACATGGTGGAAAAACTACTTACTAAGACACTGTGAATTTTTTGCTTTTAATTTGTCACCCATATGACACTCCAGTGTCTAAGTTGTAATAAATGCAATAGCAGTGTCCATTTATATGAGCTGATGCTTACATTTTTTTTGACATGCTGTGAAATTTCATCCATCACAGTGTGTTTTTTATTCAAAATGAATGTGATTTCTAGGTTGTCCATATTAAAAAAAATGTACTTGTTAATATAAATATGTAATGTTTGTGATCATCCGCTGCATTGTTTTTACCCACTGGAGACACTCAAGTCTTAAAAACGTCACTTTTTGCAGCAAAACTGTAAGAACAAGCTATTAACAGTTTTCTATGAATCCAACTATACCACAGACAGACTCCATACTGCTCTAAATGAGACATTCTTGGACTGTGCAGGACAAGTTGTTCTTCTCGAAACTGCAGTGGACTCTGGCTGACAATCCGGGGAAAACAATAGCATTGATTGAAGGCAAGCACGAGGTGTGCATCATCTCTTACGTCAAGACTTGTTTAAAAAATAATTTCTCAAAGGGTTGGTTAGCTACAGAACATCTGATGTTGCCAGCTTGATCAGTGATTTGATAACTGCCAGGCAACACGTTGGCTTCCGGTTCCACATCTAAGTGAATATGAATCAAAGTGATATAAACAGGCCAGTTAACAAAGAGCTGACTCCTGTGGTCTGTCACAGCTGAATATTATTTTACCATGTAAGTCTCACTGATATGATAAATTAACTATGGATGTTTAACCGTGGGGAAACATTTACCTCAAATATCCGGCAACATTTCTTTTCTTCAACTAATTTGAAACATGTTTGCCATAATAATAGAAATGCTAACTGTAACTTCATTTACGTATCTATATCAAATAATCAATAACATTAACTGTAATATAAGAAACCAACTTATATTTGTATGTAATTTAATTAAACTCTCATATTGACATATTTTCAACTAGTGCATACAGGCTTCTGCAACAGCATAACAGAAACCCTCAAATTTTGTCATCCCAAGATTTTCAGTGACTCCATTTGGTCACCCCTGTGAAAAATGCATGCAAGCCCTCGTGCTAAACATAACTTCAGCTAATTGCAAGACACTGAGTGGACTTTGCTAAGCAACATTTGTGGTAAATAATACTTGGCAGCTGTTTAAAAATATATATTTTTCCAGATTTTCAGCGACATTTATCAATTAGTTTGTGAAGCAGTACAATTAATCGATAAAAATATTTATTTTTGCTGAACATAAGAGCAAAAATACAAATCCCACAATGCACTGCGGCTCCCTACCGGAAGCACTCCGTTGAACCAGCGCGGGATTGTGGGTAGGCGGAAAAAGGCTCAAAAATCTACGCCGAAGCGTCAAGCGCACGTTGTGGAGTCGCTGCAGAAGAAAAACCAACAAAAGAAAACAGCTTTCCAGACAAATTTAAGGTAATTAAAAACTCTTAACCGATTGGACACTATAGCATGATTGTTTTATCACCGAAATCGACGTTTACTTGTGTAGATATTACAGCTCATTCATTCCGGTACCAACATGGCTCCGTGTGTTTGCCGAGCTCAAAGTTTCTAATACATTTAAGAATCAGATGTTAACGCTAAAATACGTATTAAATCAAGTTAGTTTGCAGCATGTATCGTTACGTGTGGTAGAATATTGTTTGGCTGCCCTTACTTTAGTTAAGTAGCAATGTGTTATTGTCTATTAGCCTAGTTAGCTAATGATGCTAATTTAGCTAGCATAGCTTATGTTGCCTGCTTTCACTATAACAGCATGAACGGTAGCTTCTGTCACACCGTGTCATGCAGAGGGTCTGTCATTATTATAAATTAATTAGCTGCATTTTTAGTACAGGTAGTAGCACCGTTGTATACTTATTAACAGAAAATACAGGAACTATAGCGGTGTGAATTGCACTATGTCCTATATACGAACGAGGGTTGAAAACATGTTTTAGATTTCCATTAATATCCTAAATATACAATAACCAATACAGTTTATGGTTTCTCTGCAGTTTCATTACCATAAATTTACTTGGAAGAGCAAACTCTACAGCTCAACATACTTTGAATGTAAAATAATGTAGACAGAAGATAATAGGCTGGTGACAGTCATCAGGCTTGTTTTGCATGATTTATTGTTACAGCATTTCTTCTGTTCTCCTGTTGTGTTCCAGGAAAACGGGTGAAAGATGTCCATCGGCGTACCAATCAAGGTCCTGCACGAAGCAGAGGGACACATTGTGACCTGCGAGACCAACACCGGAGAGGT